ATATATATATATATATAAGAAGCTACATGCGAGTGGTAGCTGCTCTCCGTATCCCTTTGGAACAGATACAGAAGAAAAGAGCCAAGAAACAAATGGGATAATGCACTCAAAAGGGATAATGCACTTTCACCTATTTATTAACACTATCTCCCCCCCTCCCTATCTCGTTCGTTCGCTCTCTCCCTCTATGCATATCTATTTGAATGTGCATGCAGCTATGAATACACCGTTATAAATCCATACACGCATATATATGTATATATGTATATATGTATGTATATATATATGTGTATGTATATTTATGTATGCACATAATGATGATATGCATGTATATTTCTGTGGGTACGGAGAAACAAAGTAAACCTACAAACGGAAATCCACATATTCATTTAAGCAGATGAATAAAACTATATTAACATAAATATCATATGTATATATGCATGAATACGCGCATAAACAAATGAAACCAGAAGACAACCATTTATAACAATATCCTCTATTCTACGTGAAGGGCGAATTGATGTTGCTGTCTTGCACTGTTTTCTCGTATGTCCACCAACGTAACAAACAAACAAACAAATAAATAAACAAACAAACACGCAAACAAGCAAACAAACAAGCAGACAAAGAAGCAAACAAACGAGCAAAGAAGCAAGCGAGCAAGCAAACAGGCAAAGAAACAAACGAACAGACAAACGAACGAACACACCAAACAAAAACGAACAATCAAAAGAAACAAAACAAAGAAAAGAACAAAACAAGCACACAAACAAACACACGCATACGCAGAACGCATGCAGATATACGCAGCAAGTGCATGCCTGCAGGAACAGTTGTGTGTACATCTATACGTTTTAGGGTCTTAGGGTTCAGGGCACAAATGTACAATATACAGGCAGCCTTGTGCTGGATATATAAGCACACACGCATGCACAAACAAAGGAGACAGGAAGGAGACATCACTGAGCGCACGACATACTAGAGACGCAGCAGACGTCGAGAGACAAAAAAAGAAAAGAACTGCCGCTGTCACCGCTGCTACCACTGCTGCTACTACTACTACTACTACCGCTGCAGCAGCAGCAGATGTACCGCCACTATTCCATGGTGTCTCCTTGCAGAGAGAGACAGCTGCACGGTTAATTATAAAGAGGGGATTTAGGGCTAAACAACTAGGGCTTTGGGCGTCTCTCCATCTTCTGTTGGGGTGTACGTACGCACCTGTGGGGTTGTGTGCGCATGCATGCAACACAACAACCGACTTGGGAGGAGCCTCCTTAAGTGCCTTTATCAGCCCATCGAAGTCCACCCCCTTCGTAGCCTGCACGCAAACCCTAAACCCTAAGCCCTAAACCCTAGGTGCCTGTCGCCAAACCTCACAGAATACGCGAAGTACGAAACCCAAGACATTCCGATGAAAACCCTAAACCCTAAACCCTAACGGGGTTGTCCTGCAGCACATCTCCGTGGGGATAGTCTCGTATGGAGACCCTCTAAACCCTAAACCCTAGATGGACTACACCTCACCTCATCCCAGTAAGGATATTCTCGTATGGTGAGACCCGATCCTGGGCCAAAGACATTGTGGTGGTTGGACCAGGTGGGGTTGCTGAGAAACACGGTCTGCGCTCCGCAAGCAAACCTAAACTGTAAACCCTAAGCCCCAAACCCTAAACCCTAAACCTTCATCTTGTCGCAGGTCAGCCCCCTCCCCGTCGAACCCGCTCGATTGTGCAGTGTGCGGCTGGTCTGCCTCTGTTCCCCAAACCTCAACAACCCCCAACCCTCAAACCCTAAACCCTAAACCCTAAACCTTAATTAAGGTTTACCTGGCAATCGGGGAGGAAGTGTTTAATAAAGTCTCCAATGATTCTTAATGCCCCTGTCCCTGAAAGCGACTGAGATGAGGCCACTCGCCCTTGGGAGACAGCTGCGCAGTCCGCGCCAAAGAGAAGAGATTGAGTCAGCTGATTAAAAGGAGACACAAGGAGGAGACAGGAGGAGACAAGAGGAGACAGGTGAGGAGACACGCAGAGGAGACAGGAGGAGACAGGTGAGGAGACACACTGAGGAGACAGAAGAAGACAGATGCGGAGACATAAAGAGGAGGGAGAAGGAAAAAAATACACAGAGGAGGAAGGGGACAGAAGGAGAGAGACGAACAGACAGTTGAGCAGACAAAACAAGAGGAGACATAAGGAAGCAACACAAGAGGGCAGACAGCCAAGGAGACAGACGCTTGAGGAAACAGTTAGGAAGACACAAAAGGAGGTATAAAGGGGAGAGGAGCCAAAAGGAGACAGTCAATCAGACAGTAAGAGACAGATAAGGAGAAACAGAAAGACAGCTGATGAGGCACGGAGAGACACATAGGGACAGGGGGAGGGAGGAGGAGGCGACAAAAGGAGACAGACACCTCAGGAGACAGTTGAGGGAACAAAAGAAGGCAAAAGGAGGCAGGACGAGGAGACAACGATACATCCGGACACGCAAGGAGACAGTTGAGTAGACATCAAACAGTACGAGGGAGGAGGAGGAGAAAAAAGGAGACCGAAAGAGACCCAAGGGGACAGGGGGGGACAGGAGAGGACAAAACGAGACACCCGGAGACAGACGAAGAGACAAAAGGAGACAGCAGGAGACAGAAAGAGATAAAAGGAGACACAAAAAGACAAAAGAAAAAAAGAAAAAATTGAGCATCCCGCTAAGCGCCCTTCACAACAGGTAACGCCTGTCAGCCGCTCCAGCTGCAGAAGCAAGCGCGCCCAGCGACACCCCTACTACTGCTGCTGCTGCTCCTGATGCTGTTGCTGTTGCTGTTGCTGCTGATGCTGGTGCTGTTGCTGTTGCTGTTGCTGTTGCTGCTTGTGCTGGTGCTGTTGCTGCTGCTACAGCTGTTCCTGCTGCTGCTGCTGCTGTTACTGTTGCTGCTGATGTAGGGGAGGGCCTACCTGTTTTAGTTCTGGGAGGCCGTCTATCGGGAGGTACTCCTTGTCCAGACTCTCATCCTTAAGTATCTCCGCCTCAGCCTTCCGCACAACCCTGCGAAGAACCCTAAACCCTAAACCCTAAACCCTAAACCCTAAACCCTAAACCCTAAACCCTAACGGACACGACAAGTGGCGGCTACTGCTGGGGTGATGTACTGCACAAGTGTTCTGCCTCGCCCTCTCCACCTGTCCCTCTGTTCATGTTCCTTTGGTGTCTCCCTAGTTCGGCTGCCTCTGTCTCCTTCTCTGCCTCCCCTTCCGTACTCTCTCTGCTTCTCTTCCTCCCTCTCTTTCTGTACCTTTCACTCCCTCTTCCCGTCTGTGTCTATATCTGTGTCTATCTCTCTATGTGTGTCTGTCTCTGTCTGTATATCTGTCTCTATTTGTCTCTCTATCGGTCTCTCCGTCTCTCTCTCTCTAGGCTCAAAGCATCTCCATATCTCGCTGCCCGTACCCCCCGCATATGAAAGCCCAGCAGCATAAAATGAAAGCAGCTCGATGAGGTGTCTCTCTGTCTCCTTGCTTGAGGTGTCTTCTCCATTAGGAGACAAGGGGATGGGGGGTATATAGGGAGGGTATAGGGTAGAGAGCATACGAGAAGACATAAGGCTTCCCTTCATCTGTCCTATATGCACCTATACCCAAATTAATCTTCTGAGGGCTGGGGTCAGCCTTAAAGGCCAGCGCGGTGCCTAAGATAGGATCAGGGGGGGCGACGGGGACAGAAGAGAAGAGAGACATGTTTTCAGCTGAGGAGACACCCGAAAGAAGATATTAAAACAAAGAAAAAGAGACAGCAGCAAAGAAGCAACAACAAATATCTACACACAATCGTGATACTCCTACACACCAATCGTAATCGCCCAACAAGTGCCTAGACACCCGAAGCAACAGCAAATCTGCTTTGTTTTCTTCTGGATTAAATGCAACACCGAATAAACCCTTATTAAAGAGACAAATATACAGCAGAAGGAGATAAATGAACCTAAACATACACACACGGGCAGCAGAGCAGCCATCGAGCTGCAGCAGGAAGCAAGAGAGCAGCAGCAACACAGCAGCAGCAACTGTCTCCTTCCGTAGCCTCTTCTGCTGCTTCTGTCTCCCTTTTATTTTTTTATGGGCGTATGTATAAGTTAATGCAACTAACAACTCTTTTTATTACTCTATCACGCAGCAAAGACGGCCCTTTAGAGACGCCGAGCACAGCTGGGGCTTACGAGGAGAGCTGTCTCCTTCTCTTGTCTCTTTTCTGTCTCCTTTCGTCTTCTTTTTTCTCCTTTCTGTTTCTGTAACCACCATGTGCGCTATTTGAAGCCTCATATACCCAGCATTTGCCTTTATGTCGCCGCGAGCCGGGGAGGCCAACAGACAGACAGAAAGGGAGACAGGAAAAGATAGAGACAGATAAGGAGACAGATAAAAAGCAGCAACTGCAGCATAGTCACGACCCTCAAGTGGTGCACAGAGCAGCGGGGAGGCTTTTGCAAACACTTCCATCGATCGCTGCGGAGTACCGTTGGGAGGCGGCACTGTTCTCCTTAAAAGGAGACAGTTGTCCCTTTCGGCGTTTCTAACGGGACACTTATATGTCCCCTTCTACGGAAACACTTATCTGTCTCCTTTCTCCCTTTTCTAGGTTCACTTATCTGTCCCGTTTCTCCCAGTTCTATGGAGACAGTTGCACCTTTCTCCTCTTGAAAGGAGACAGTTGTACACAGTTGTCCCTTTTCTCTCTTGTCTGAGGAGACAGTTCTCCTTTGTTCTACAGAAGAGCTGTGCCCTCGCGTTGGGGTGTCTGTCTCCTTACGGGGAAGGGCTTTCTTCATCAATAAGACAGTGAAAAGGCGCTGTCTCCGTTTGTTGGGGCTGCCCATCTGTCTCCAAAAGGAAACACTCGCAGCGTTCAATATAACACAAATTCACATTATTAACTAATGCAACAGTATCGTAATATTATTATCCCTTCTTATTAAAATAATTAAACAATAGTAACTTTTATTTTGTTTTATATCATTAATAAATAATACTGAATGTTCATGGATGAAACTGCCTCCTATGGGAGTGGTGAGGGTGTAAGCTGTCCCCTCATCTCTTCTCCTGTCTTTGCTTGCTTCTGTTTCCTCCCGTCATTTCCTTTATCTTTTTTCCGTCTCCTCCTGTCCCTGCCTGTTTCGCTTTGTGTCTGTCGGCCTCTTTCTTCCTCCTCCAGTCTCCTTTTGCCTCTG